ATAAGTCTATTGCAGTCTGATGAAAAAAAAAAAAAATAAACGAATAAAAAAATAAATAAAAGTTTTTTTTGTTTATTGAGTCTCGGGGGACTTGCTCATCGGTTAGTATATCTAAAGCTGGGTGTAATGGTACCAGTATCACGGCAGGAAAAGAGAGTTCGTTGCAACTAATATTCGAAGTCGTGTCAATTGCAATGGTTGCTCATCACATGTAGCGCGTTGTTATGCGATCTCTCTCTAATTTTTTAAACCGTACTGCCGAATTGACTTGAAATATGTCGTTAAATAGTTCACTGAGACTGGAGAAGATAAGGTGATTTGCTAGTATTACCAGTTTTGTTTTCAGTTTATTAACCATATAGCATGATCATTAGTAGTAATAACAGAATCATTATTAGCATCCCTGTTATGTTATCACACGTGATATTTTATTATATTACATTAAATCAAATGCCATTTTTGTTTATGATCATATATTATAATCATCATCATTATCATCAATCTACCATTAATCATTATCAACATTATCAATGTCAAATTTATCAATCCATATTTTCACAAGCCTTTCGCCTACAGCTGTCAACGTGTCGCGCCCCTGGTCCTCGCTGCCTTGTCCTCGCCCGCCTCCGCTCGCTCCCTCGACGCGTCCCTTCGTCGACGTCCTCGGGGAACCACGCCTCAGCAAGGCGCTCTCTCTTCGACCCGGCGTTGCACCGTGCATCTACGACGCCAGCTGTGGGGAGCTTGGGGCGCCTGGCGAACGACCGCTTACAACGTGTTCCGGACCCACGCCCAAAGGGCCACGGGGTGCAGGTCGGGCATGGAGCGCGTTGGAGTCTTAATAATGGCTTTTGGGTAAAGGTTCTTGTGAAGCAGACAATTCCAGTCGTGTCACATAGTAAGTTTTACAACGATCGCTCAGAAATCTCACAAGCCCTGCCCTTCCAGGAGCAACTGCTAATAAAAACCTATCTTCTCGACTGCCTGGAGTACCTGATCCACAGCCCACCTTCAGGAGGGAGCACAGGGGCCCTGAGACCGTCGGCAAGTATAAAAGCCGTTCCCGGAACCGCCCGTTCCTCGACGTCGTCTGCGAACGCCCTGATTCACGAACGGCTTCACGCAGGGTCGCTTTGGTTTGCTTTCGTGCCACGTCGAAAGCGCGGACGCCCGCTGCTTTATTTCGTTTCAAGCTCGTGGTTGACTGCTTGGTTAGGTCGATGATTCTCTGTGGTGGAGGAGGAGATGGCGTGCATATGGTCTAGTTTTGGTTGTTGCAATGCCTTTTGACTCCAATAAACTCTTTCAAAACTTTTGTATTTTTCTGTTCTGCATGAAACGGTTCTAAAATGGGAACTGATACGAAAAATATTCACAATCTTTTTTTTTTTTGAGTAAAACACTCATCTACTAGAACCTTAAAGGTACATGACATTAGTTACAAATTCATCACACACACACACACACACACATACAGAAAGTACATGTCATAGATAATGATTAGTTTTTTTTTTTTACCCCAAAACAATAGGTTACGAGTTTAGTACTTTTACTGCATTTTACTAATCCACGCAGACGCAGTGACGACAGTAAACGCAGGTAATATCATCCTTGCAATGAAAAACAGACAATTGCAAACGTAAGATATTGGGATTTCAACCAATGAGATGACCTCTACACAGTAATTAGCCAAGTTTTACTAATAAGAGTTATTAGTAAAATAAATTAATAATCCCCATAATGATTAAAAAATAATGGTACAAAGCAATAAAGTCCGTAGGGTCAAAAAAGGTAGGATTTAGCAAAGGGGAAGAAAAGGAGAGTCTAAGGGCAGTAAGGATCACAGTTTAAGGGTAAAAAAATGTCAAGAGGGAGAGAAACCAGGAAGGGGGTTGTGACAAAAGGCCAACTATGTACCCAGGGGGGAAGCGGAATGGGATAATGGGGGAAAGGGAAGAATGGGATGTGCTGGGGGACGGAGTGGAAGGAGGAGTGTAGGAGAACATGAGTAGGATGAGGGATGTCCGCCAGTTGTTTTGAGTGTAAAGGAATGGTAGCAGACATATTGGAGGATGGATGAGGTTAGGCAGTTATCTGGATTTTTGGCGGCCATGTATTAGATAGTTTCAGTGTCTTCGAACATTCTGTAGTGGAGTTGATTGGGAAATAAAGGTTTTCTTATGAGGGGGAGTAGAGGGATGGATGTTTGAGGTAAAGGAAGAGGTTGACGGAGGAGAGGATGGGGTGGAGCGTTAGGAAAGGAAAGGATAGTGATAGTGATAGTATCGGAGGTGTGGCTGGAGTGTCTGGGACGGTGAAGACTGGGGTATGGAATAAGAATGGCAAAAGAATTAACTGGGGGAAGGAAAGAGGTAGAAGTGGGATGAGGGAGAGATACTGGGGAAGATGATAGAAACATCTTTAGGAGGAAAGGAAAGGGGTAGAGCAACGGACAATATTGGAGTAAGGAATGAGAAAAAACCTTGTCGACTGCTCCTGTCTTGCCTCCCGTAAAATGATGCCAAGTTCTTGAAATATGAGAATTGTCACTTTAGACTCAAACTTGCTTGTAGTACAAACTCTATAAAGGCATATGGGAGCCGCACAACTGGCACTTGTGCGTGACTCGTGCAGAGTAGGTTAAGATTATTAGGTGGGCACATAGCGGGGTACCGGGCTGTGGAACGGCAGTTTGCAGAATGGCCTACACGCCAATAATATGTTGGACAGGCGAGGGACTCTTGCTAATGTAAACGTTGAAGGGGAGGTCTACGCGAAAGTAATCTTGGCAATACTGGTGGGGGACTTACGACGGGCCTCTAGGGGGAATAATGTAGCACTGTACTGATACCAATCTGACAATCTTTGCCGTAGACAGGGCCAATTTGTCGGGGAGATGCGAGAACAGTTCCGTCAGAGCGACTGCGGAAGGAAAACTGTGCCTATTGCTTTTGGGGGCATTGCTGGAATATGGTGTTTTGTCAAAGTACGGGGATATGAGGGACTTACGAAAAAACGATCCCGTAGGATAGTGTTTTCAAGATGTTTGAAAAGGTGGGGGGAGGTAGTAGAAGGCGGGGGAGAAGTAGTATTGAGAGAGGTAGTTCTGCGGATAAATTTATTATTGAATTATTTAAAGCCGAAGTTAAGGAAGTTAAGGACGTGGGTTGAGGTCAAGGTGGGGTGAGCCCCAACACTGGGCCTCAGTCCTCCGTCTCCTGAGCCATCCCCCCACCCCCGACAAGAGCAAGAGATTGGGTGGGTGTGGGGACTGATGAGAGGAGTAGGGAGTAGTAATGGTTAATGGTTAATGGTTAAAAGCAGATAAAATGTGCCTAGACATAAAGAGTCATGTAGCAACTATATTTACGTAGTAAAAGGTGGTTGAGTATGATTAGTTGTCTAAGCTGGGCAAAGGAATTGGTGAGTCAAAGGGTTAAGGTCGGGTGTTAGATTAGAAAAGGTATGTATGCGTTTGAGGGAAAGAGCAACAGGTTGTTTGATGCAGAAAAGTGTCGGGATTCTGTAAGGAGTCTGATAGGTTGGGAGGTCAGGTGAAGGAGGATAGGTGGGGGAAAGCAGAGGTACGGGCTTTGCTTTCAAAACGTGGCACGGACAATAGGATGTGTACGATTGAAAGGGGAGGAACATTACATAACGGGAACATTAGGGGTGGATCAGAGTGACAATCAGATAGGAGGAGTTTAGACGGGTGTGGCCAATGCGTAAGCGGGCGAAGAGCAGTATGGACGAGACATAAAGGGAATGTGGTGGAAGAGGACAAAAAATG